AAGAGTTATTTGTACTTTCAGGACTAGGCTGGCAGGGTCTAATGGATTGCCTTCAAGTGCGTGTAAAGCTGATTTAACTTTGCAGTGAACGATTCTGCCGTCTGAGTAAGATGCAATTGAGGGGCTGCAAGAGTTTGACAACGCTAGGGGCTCCTGGCTTTGCTACTATAGGCGTAGGGGGGGCTCCTGGCCTTACTACTACGAGCACGAGGCTATCGCGCACGGCTCTGAGCTCAGTTGTACCCTGTCAGGTCATGTTGCGCCGGAGACTTTGAGGCTCAGAACATCGGGCAGTGGGCGCTTCTGTCATGGAGAGCTTAGACATTGGGCATGACGCTGCGGAACGCCGCTTGCGCGCCATTGAGGCGCTGGATGCCGACTTCCATGGCCTGCTGCAGCTCAAAGGGTTGTCGGAGGTTCTGCAAGCGAAGTTGGCTGTGGCAAGGGTGCGCACCATCGCCCGGTTCGCAGCGATGGCGGACAGTCGATCCGCGATGCGCCAGTTCGGCAATGAGGTTCTAGCACTGGATCCATTGAGGGATTTGGTGGAAGTGGCCGCACTGGTCGACGCCTGGGAATCGGCCACCTTGAGAGTGGCAGTGCGAAACCAGGCGGTGTCGGAGGCAAAGGTCAGCGCCCTGCCCAGGGCAGTTCCAAAGGTTGAGACATCGAACCTCAAGGAGAAGTTTGAGGCAGTGCGCAACATCAAGCTGGAGGACCGAGCCACTCCAGCGCCTTCCACATTGGAGCAGATGTTTGAACAGATTGAACAAGGAGAGTTGAAGAACATGAGCATCGTCCAGTTCGTCAGCCGTGAGGACGCGGAGGCAGAAATTCTCGGTGCAACTATTGATAAGAGCACCGGGAACCTCAAGGTGAAGAAAGGCTATGGCGAATGCGCCAAGCCCACGACTCCAGAGGAGTTCCGGGCTAGAGCAAATGTGATGGCAAACACCTACTTGATGGCACAAATCAAGTATCCTCAGAAAGCCTTGTTGAAGGGCCTTCGCCGTCGTGATTTTCAAGAATATGTAAACTACTTGATGGGTGACTCTGTCCTGGGTCTGCAGGCTCGGGATCAACATGGGCAAGTGGTGTCAGCGCCCTCATTCGAGCTGGCACTCTCTTATGATTTTCAGCTTCGTCGCTTGGCTGTCCGGCTCGCAAATGAGGGAGCCACCTTTGCACAAGCCCTGAGGCAAGCGCGAGATGATCTTCCTACAAAGGAGCGCTATTTCCTTACACCCAATGCCTGCGCACCGGTCGCGTGTGCCACCAACGCGGCAAGCCGTTCCCGCAGTCCTCCACAGCGAACGCCCGGCATGATGTCGCCCCAGAGGGCCAGCAGATCTGCTGGCGCTGGAACCATCCTCGTCAGCGGTGCCGTTACAACTGCGGTCGAGCTCATGTATGTCAGCAGTGTTTTGGGCCTCATCCATGCCATGCCTGCGACCGCTCCGGTCCGGGCGCTTCAGGCTGACGAGTTTCAAGACTACAGGGCTCCCCTCACCTCCCTGGGGGAGTCCTTACACACCAGTGCACCACGAAGGGGAGCTGCGAATTCAACCTGGTGGACACCCTTCTCGGGCCAGCTAAAGTGGGGGAAGGGCTTCTTTGCCCGCGAAGGGGGTGAGGCTTTGCACTAGGGCTTCTTTGCCCGCGAAGGGGGTGAGGCTTTGCGCTTCAAGGGGGTGAGGCTTTGCACTTCTTTGCTTGGCACTCCTTTGCCCGTGAAGGGGTGAGACTTTGCATGTAGAAGGCAGAGAGACAGATAGAGGCAGAGAGAGAGGCGGCATGGCCATGATAGACCACAAAGAGAGAGACAGAGGGCAGAGAGAGAGGCGGCATGGCCATGATAGACCACAAAGAGACAGAGACAGAGGCGAGGCTTTGCACTTCTTTGCTTTGCGCTCCTTTGCCCGTGAAGGGGGTGAGGCTTTGCGTGTAGAAGATAGATATTTATAGAGGCAGAGAGAGAGAGGCAGCATGGCCACGATAGACCACAAAGAGACAGAGAGAGAGGTGATGTGGCGGCATGACCTTGACAGAATGCAAAGAGACAGCCAGAATAGACCACAAGAAGAGAGAATGGCCAGGATAGAGGCGATGGGGCCTTGATAGAGCGCGAGAAAGAAATCAGGGCCATGGTAGACTGCAAGAAGAGAGTTTGGCCAAGGCAGAAGGCAAGAAGAGAGATTGGCCAAGACAGAAGGCAAGAGGCGGCGTGGCCATTATGACAGAGTGAGACAGAGACAGAGGCGACGTGGCCGTAATAGGCGGCAGAGAGACAGAGAGAGAGAGAGATCGGCCAAGACAGAAGACAAGAGGAGAGATTGGCCGAGATAGAAGGCAGGGAGAGAGACCTGATAGAGAGGCGGCGTGGCCACGAAGGAATGCACGAAAAGAGTCTTGGATTGAGACAGAGAGTTGGCGCGGCCATGATAGAACACAGGAGAAGAGACTTCGTGCAGTTGCCAGGTTGGAACACGTGGAAGAGAGATTTGGCTCAGATAGAATGCGAGGAGAGAAGTTCAATAGAATGCAAGAGGATAGTTCGGCCAAGATAGAAAGCAAGAATTGGCCGAGTTAGACGCCGAGAGAGATGAGCGAAACATAGCAAAACCATTTATCTGGCCAAAGGGCCAAGATAGAATGCAAGAAGACGGACTTGATGGAATGGCAATGCGGCCATAATAGGAGGCAAAAGAAGGGATTCGGGCAGAAGGAGAGAGAGATAGAGATTCGTGGCTGCCTTTTGCCCGCGCTTCCTTCCCATGCTCTTCCTCCCACTCGCGTCCAGGTTCCTGGGCACGGAGGGCTGGAGAAGTTTGAGAATGCCACCTTGCAGAAGGAGGTCCTCACAGAGAGCTGGTCATGAGGAGAGGCGCGGGGGACCTAAACTAAACACAACAATAGACGTGTCGTGGTGTGATGCTTTCTCCCAGTATGTAGCACCTAGAGAGCGGGGAGTGCAGGCCTCGCTACTAGCTAAAGTGGGGGAAAGAGTAGCAAGGCCATGCAATAAACCCTCCTTGTGTTGACAAGGGGGGAATGTGGGCATCATT